CTAGCTTGCTTCTCTTCCTCCGCGAGCCTAGCTTGCTTCTCTTCCTCTGCGAGCCTAGCTTGCTCCTCCGCGAGTCTCTGCTCCTCAGCAAGTCTCTGCTCCTCCGCGAGCCTTGCCTGCTTTTCTGCGAGCTTCTGCTCCTCTGCAAGCTTGTCTTTATCAAGTTTCTCTGCTGCGAGCTTCTCTGCTTCTAGTCTTTTCTCCTCACTGATTCTCTCGTCTGCGAGTCTCTCCTCGATATCTTGTTCATTTGCAGCCCCATCTTTAGGGTGTTCCCCCGCAATTTCTGTCGCTACGGCCAATTCGTTATATCCAAATGCCGCCCCAATGGGCAGACGCCTTTTTGGACCTCTTGCCCGGCCTTTCGTCATGTGCGTGAGGGGGGCCGGGGTTTGTGTCTCCTGCTGTTCTGAGCTTCCCGTTGAGAGGCTGCTAGTGATGGAGAGGCCCGTGGCAGGGCCGTTGCCAGTGGTAGGCGGCCCGCGAGACAGAAATCCTGCTAAGGCAGGATTGATTCGGCCTGCAAGTTTACTTTTAGCAGCGGTACTTTCAGCCGCAGCAGGCGCATGTGGAGTCTGGTCCAGTTCCACCGGAGACAGAGAACGCACCGACGACCGTACTGAGGATTGCACGGAATGCACCGAGGAACGCACCGATGAATGAACTGATGAACGAGCCGAGGAGACGTCTCTATGGCCCTGAGCCTCCTCTTGACCTTCTGGAGTCGGCAAATCCGCTTCGACGTGCAGGGGAGATTCCACCTTGTTGTAATTGACCTCCTTTTCAGCTGCTTCGCTCTCTGTTCCAAGTTGATGTCCGTCAAAGCTAGCCTTCGAGGTTTCAGATAGTTCGACGGTTTCTTCGAGATCGTGAGTCACTTCGTTGCTAACATTGGTATCCGGCCGAATAGGAGAAAGGTTCAGAGCCTGGGGTTCTAGAGACATCGGCGGCTCATAAGGTGATAGCGGCGAAAGTGGCGAGCGTGGAGATGGCGCGTCAGTGGTGGATAGATTGCTTCTAGAACTGATAGACTTGGTCAAGTTGTTCCTCTTTGCAATCGCTTCTGGGACGAATTTCATGGGAGCGTCCATTTCTCCGGCAGTGTTTCGCCTAGTTGAGCCCCCATTAGTTTTGATTGCTTCCTTCTGTTTGAGTATGCTTTCTTTCAAGTCGTCAATCTTTGGCGACTTCTGAGGACCATTCGTCGTACTGAGCGCCGCCTTGCCTTTTAAGATATTCTCTTTTAAGTCATCGGGGGGTACATAGGTCGATGCCCCCGCCCTCTTCAGCTTTCCGAAAACGTTCTTGAATTCTGGCTCCTCTTTAGGCGCTTCATCTTTGACAATTTCGCGGCGTCGAAGGTTAGCTCGGAAATCGATCACAGCTGGTTGTGGCTTGGGCCTGTTTAAAAGCGGGTCGCGAGTTGGAGATGGAAGAGGCATGTCAAGTACGGTCTTGGTAATAGGGCTTCGAGTCGACAATCTCAATGCATGCTTCGTAGTGCTGTCTTCTGCCACTTCTGTTCCTGTATCTGCTGTGGCGAGGGGCGGGACTTCCACACTCGCCTCCAGAGGTGCTGCTTGATCATTGTCTTCGGGGCTGTGAGCCGGCTGGCTGTCGTTGGGCAAAAATATCGGTCCGTCCTTGAGTTGACTTTCGACTACGCTGTCCTTCAGCTCAGAAGGAGGAGTTGGGACATCATTAGCGGGGACATCATCAGGCGGTTCGAATGTCGCATGATCATCTTTGGGTTCAGCCGGCTCGCTGTCTTTTGGCTCGGCCTCTGGAAAGTTCCCATGGGGAATGAAATCAAGGCCGGGCTCTTTCAAAGTAGAGGACATATTGGTGGTGAAATCATCTGGTTTGGCCTTGCCCATATCGGGTCCAGAGAAGAGGTTTGGAATTCCAGACACGCTTGATGATTTGGAGTGAGTGCCCGGAGCAGCCGTTCGCATGAGCCCCACGGGCGTAACTTCTTTGAAGCTGGAAGTCCGTCCCAGATCAACACTGCTCCGCAATTGCCTCTCCCTAACCCATGACGGTTGTTGAAAGGACTGCTGCCTCTTGTGCTTCGGCGAGTCAGGAGGGCGATTCAAGGCACTTTCCAACCAGCTGGCTTTGGTAGGACTCCATCTCCTAGGATCCATGGTCCTGGAAACTACTGGACTTGAAGAAGGCAAAGAACTTGAGTCTGGGCCCTTTTCAACAGAGCTTGCCGACCGCGTGTGAAGGCTGAGAGGGGGCCTAGCGGCCCCCTCGTCACTCAGTGCATTGCTCTCGTGTTTTTCGGGAATGGGAACTGGCGGGGTTGCCGGTCGTCCACCGTCTCTGGCAGGGTCTATGATAGTTGCCTCGCTATGGCTCGAACCAGGCCGGTGACTCGATGTAGGCCGATGGCTAGAAGTCGGCCGCTGAGATGAGAGGCTTGGAACTTCGCGGCTCAATCTATATGAGGGCGAGTTTGAAAAGGTCTCATTCCCGACGAAACTGTTACGGCTGCTGGCAACCGAACTTGGCCGGCTTAGACCCGATGGAAGCTGGGCGCTCCATCTTTTCGACACACTATCGGATCGCTTCATCATGGCGCTCTGCACAAATCCGCCGAGACCCTTTGTCGGTGACGTCGACCGTTCCGGAGAAAGTCGCCTTGGAGAAGGAGGAAGAGACATCTGATCCTCTAAGACCTCTTCGGGCTTACGGGGCTCCAGCTTCTGCGCGCTTAACAGAGGCAGCGGAGAGCCGAGTCCTGTCGCGGTAGAGACAGAAGAGACGCTTGAGTATCGGTGGCCCAAACTACTTTCTGCAAAAGTCGAACTGGCTCTTGATGGCGATCGAGATCGTCCCTCAACGCTCTCTATGTGATCGGTGTCCTTTCTAGGTTCTGGGGTGTATTCCTTTTCGGCTTCTTGGTGCTTGAAATTGGCTTCGGAAACCGGTGTCCGTGGTCTCTCGTCCTCCACATGTTTGCTGCGGGTTGGGGAAACGCTTCCTTCTGTCTGGCGCGCCCACGAAACATCCTTGAATGTGGGTGAGGCTGCGGATGAGTTCCGATTCACATTCTGCTCATCCGTCGAAGCTGTGGACAAGGCTCGCCACCTGGAAGGAGATGATGAAAAAAATTGTCTGTTGCTATCACGGGATGTTGGCCTTTGCTGCCAGGACAGAGTCCCCGTTCTACTCCGCAAAGGTGAGAAGGGTTTAGATGGTATTTCGCCATCGACTCCGGTCAGTGTGGATCCTCTCCGGCCGCCGTCCGTGGTTGTTGATGTGTCATCCCCAATGGATTCGGGTCTGCTGTCCGAGTCCCGACTCGGGGTATGGAGAGATGGTCCAAATTGTTCGGGAGGTTCGATCGCACGGTGGCTGAGAGTCGAGGATATGCTCAACCGAGCCGCATCAAGAATGGGGGAATCTTTTGTGGGAGAAATCGATCGCGCCCGCTCTGTGTGAGGACCATGCACAATCAGTGTTCAGATTTGCGAATCTAGACGGAGGCGCATGGAAAACAATGAAGAGAGGGAATAGACATAATTATCAAGGAAAGAGATTACTTACCAGCTCTTCGGGCCTGTCTCTCTTTGCGCCCCTGCAAAATCTCCTCCTCCAACTTTTTCGTGCGTTCCTCATCCTCCTTATCGCGCTTCTCTCCTAGTTCCCGAATGCGCAGAAGAAAGTCATTGACATCTTCCGAGCTGTCGATGTCTGCTGTAGGAGCCATGGCTCGCTAAATGCCAGATATGACCGGCCAAGATTAGAAGGAAGGTAGCTTGAGAGAAGAAAAAGAGGGCAGAGGGTCAAATTGTCCGCTAGAAAGAGAGGTTTCTTCCAAACTGAACTAACACCGGGCAACGAGCTAAGGACGGTGGGGTTTTTCGTGCGAGGCGATCAGGAGGGGAAAGATCGTGCGGTAAAAGAAGAAGAAGGGGGGGGAGAGAGAAGGGGGGCTGGAATACTAATTGGGCAATCAATTGTGGTCGTGACTCGTGAGTCTGTGAGGGTCGAAGAGAAGGGGAGAAAGAGGTGGATGAGGGAGGAGGGAATCAAGGGAAAAGAAACCCCCGTGGCTCGCGGCTCGCCGCCCTGAGGCGAAGATCGATTCGCATCCGACGAGGAATGAACTACGGAGTACTCTACTAACGTTAATACTAACCTCACTCTCTCCTCGTCCATCTACCCACTTGGGGGTCTCTCCGCTACGAATTCCTCACCTGGAAATGAGTACTAGTGAGATTTGTCCGTTAGACGCCTGCCTTATCACTCGACTTGGTGGACCCAAACAACAGCTGGGAGGCCCATTCCATCAACAACAACAACATCATCATCATCATCCTCATCCTCATCAGAGAAGGAAGCCCGACGCCCATCAGCTGCTGTCGCCCCACAACTGTTTTAGCTGGTGAGGCGCATGAGAGACAGGATGCATGCACATCAGTACTTATTATAATCACAGTTCTCCTATTCCCAAGGGAAACAAACCATTATGCTACTGATACTTTGTCGTTCGGGGGACTTTCAGGGGACTTTCTCAAGCCTTTAATCTCTTTCTTGTTCAACCAAAGTCAACACGTTTGGTGTTTTGATCTTTCTCGACACGGAAGATTGTTTACTTGTTCCCGAGTTCGGGTCTTCGCGGTGGAGCACACCCACCCTCAAAGCACACCCTCCGTTCACTCAAGAAGTCTGCAATCCGGTTATTGTACGGAGGACATACGTACAGTACAGTACGTACTTGCTAAGTAGCCGCGACGAAAGAAGGTCCAGTACATACACCTTGGGGCAGCCATTATCCCTGAATCTCGATTCCGATCTTGCTTCTCCCCGTGTCGTCAGTGGTCCGGATGGGGGCCCCCGAAACCCAGATCCATGGATAAATCTGCGATGGTTCAAGGATTTTCTGACACTGACGCGGCCGGCATTCCAAGGCTGCAGCTGCAGCGGCGGCTCGCTCCAAGCGAAAGTCTGCCGGGCAAACCAAACCGCTAGACTACTGCCCCATCATCCATTGACGTAAGATACACTAAGTTAGTTAAGTACACACGGTCAACCACCACTGGTTCCCACTCTGCTATTTCCAGCAAAACTTGGCCCTTTACCTTGTTCGATAAAGGTCCATTCAAGACCGTGGACCCTGACAGAGCCGACGAGTGTTTGATCGTCCATCCGAAACTCCCGACAAGGCCACACTGAATCGGCCCCGAGCAAGGGAGCCGCAATATACGCACACACAAAAGTCAAACCCCTGTCTAGGATGTCCTCGCTAATGCTCCATCCCGTTGTGCATGGAAGCTAGGGCTGCATGTCATTTCGAATTCAAAATCCTCTTTTCTCTACAGGGTCAGTGATGTCCAGAGCGAGAGGGGCCAACCAATAAGCCCAACCGTGGTCGGGCATCGCTGCCGCGTGGGAGGGTCAGAAAAATATATCAGGCTGCCAACCGGAGGTCGCGGCTGGTGAGCCTCATCTCGAGCCTTTCTGGATAGAGCCGGCGCGTAAATAAGGGATCAGGCTGGTTTGCTGTAATCTCGGTAGGCTAGTTGAAGCGGTAGTACTCACGGTAATATCTGGAATTAAAGATCGAGGGCATTTTCCTATCGCAACCATCGGCGGAGTGCAATTAGGCAATCTAGCTAGCTAACCTAGTATAAGAAAAGTCGATCCTTGGCATCTTGCACCACCCAATCCAACCCCTCGTATAGGTTTCTTCCTGTCATTGCACTGCATGGCAATATCGTCCATTTGTGTGTCTTGATAGAGTCCAAGCTCAAACGCTGTATCGCGTTCTCAGTCAAAGAAGGGACCCCGAACGTAAACCGGTCGGGAAAGAGCAATGAAGTTGGGTAGGAGGAAAAACTCACCTCACGAACCTCTTCCTCAGTCATACACCCATCAACATCAGTTTTATTGAGAAAAACTAACAGACTCGCCCCCATCAACCGCTGTATGCGAAAATCAGTCAGCCTATGCCGCCTCAGAAGGAGGCCGCGGGGAAACAAGAAACGAAAAAAGGGTACCTCTTCCAAAAGCAACCCCGCCAGTTCGGTTCGACAATCCTCCACGCGAAGGCGGTCGGTCGCATCAACAACCCAGACCAGGGTATCGGTCTTTTCAAAATAATTCTTCCAATAAGAACGAAGCGTTTTCTGGCCTCCGACGTCCCCTGGAGTACCTTAGGTTAGTCGGCGGGAAAAAGGTAGGACGGAGCGGCAGAAGCCTCACAAATGTTGAGACGGTATCTTTTCTCCCCCCTCGGGGTGTCAGCTATCAGGCTTTCTTTGCTGGTGAGCTTTGTAAAAATGAACGAGATTTACCCTTGGAATTCGATGGTCTTGATGATGAAGCCCAACGTTGGACTGACGGTGGTGACATCTTCTTTCATGACTTGTTTGACGATGGTCGTCTTGCCGGCGTTGTCGAGACCGCTGGGGTGGTGGTTTTTGCGCGTTAGCATCGCATAGATTATTATTGTGGGAGTGTTCGACAGCCTACAGCATAAGAATCCGCATCTCCTTGTCCTTCAGCCGGGCTTTGCGTAGAACAGACAACATCTTGGCGGGTTGTCTGCTTGATCGGTGATTTGGCGTGTCTTCCGATGGATTTTGGGGGGTGTTGGAGGTTGTATGCACGGGTTGGACGAAGTTGTTGTATAAGATAGTAGGCGAGCACACAACTCTGCCATACTTGGTACATAATAATGCATCGGCAGCACACCTGCACCACTCAAACCAATGTTATAGTTCCCTCTAATCAACATCAGGAACTCGACAACAACCATCAATAAGTTCTAGATATGTCAGATCAATACCTATTAGCTATTGCTCTTACCGATGTAAAGCTGCACGTGACCAGCAATCTATATCGTTACGTTTCTAGAGTCAAAATAAAACGATTCCCAATGCATAACCTCCTACAAGGGCAATGGCCGTTGCAGACCTTTCAAAGAAGATAAATGATGTATCATAATCTCATCCTGGCTTTATACTATCAGTTCAGGGCTGTTTTTCTGTACCGAGCTTCGCATTTCCCCACCCCAGACTCCGAGATACGCTGTGTAGAAGTTCACAGTTGGCCCGACAGCGGACTTGAATATGCGCTTCACATAGCTGAATATTTGAGCTACTATTTGCGTAGTTATAGCACCAAAGATCTTATATTCAGTTATAAGTATGCGATCGAGGCCCGCACTCAGAGAACCGAGACAGACCAACGTCATGATCATTCGTTGCAAGATCCTGCGACACAAAAGCAAGGTGATGAGAATACAGCCTAGCAAGGCGGGAATCCATTAATCATTATCCGATTTGAATATGTTTGCCGAGCCGGTGATGAAGTTATTCAAATTACCCCCAGAGCAGGAATTCAACAGAGCAGGAAGGTCAATTTCTGGGCAAAGTTCACTCCAGATCAAGACGAATATTAGATATTTCTCTTTTCTGCATTATGGACCAGTCCCCGCTTCTGATACTGCAGACTGAGCTTTTTCCAACGAGTGAGTAGAGCGTTGTAACACGTGACTCCCAGCTAGAATTCACCAGTGACACCTAGCCCACACTGAAATTTGCATGAGATAACTTTAGAACAACTTATCTTGCATGCCATAATCAGAGAGAGACAGAAAGGCAGAAAGAAGAGGAAGAATTCTCTGCAACAAGACTATCTTACCATGTTAGTTTGCAAACCACACAGACTGACAGATCAACCGTCGACTCCTTCCGTCCTCTTCTTCATTTTTCAGAAACTTGTAAGAGATCTTCCAAGTTCACCATCTATCCTTCCTTTTCTATATCTGAAGAGTGACATGCATTATCTTTGGATATCTTCATTATTCAATAGGAGATAGAGTGATACACCTCTTTATTCAAACAAAGTCTTTCCTTGTCCATGGTCACATCCTGCAATAACGTTTTAGAAGACATAGCGTCTCGTGTCTTCTGAAACAAGGATCCGTCTTTTCAGAGTAAGCATTCGTCTTCATCATCTGTGTCTCCTTACTCTATTGACTTGAGTTGAAATGGAAACAAGATAGATCTATTCCCAGCAGTGATCGCAGAAACCACAGACCCGTGACTTTTAAATGTAAGTTTCTTGCCTTCATTAGTCGCGTCACTCACCTCTCATGACTTCAAACACATGAGCCATTATCTCTCATAGCCATCCACAGTGACTCATTGACTAGGACACTGAACAAAAGGCTTCCGCGCACCTAGGTAAATGTCCAACCCATCGAGTCCTTCTGGCTCATGATTCATATAGCAAGCAGGCTAACATTGCGCCCTTCCCACAGAGACTGAGAAACAAAGTCATTCCAAAGCAGAATGGCCAGTCAGAAGAATAAGGGAAAAAAGCCGACAAGGGGCAGTCGAACCACACCACCTTCTATGACAAAAGGCAAACGTGCAATCAGAAGTCCATCCGATGCACCACAGGCCAGCTCCTGGTGGGACGGCGACCAAAAGAATAGTGAGCCTGATAAGATGACACCCGAGACTTCCGAATGTGAAGCGCCTCCACGCGCACCGTCCGATGTGAGAGCCGAGCTCAAACGCCTGCAAGATGAAATTGTCCTAAAGGCACATCTAAACCTAGATCGCATCGACGATCACGAGCAGGTAGCTAGCCCCGAGTTGCTTGCCGAGTGGAGGGATGGACCAGGAACAGACCCTGAATCCGCTCGGTACAAATTTCTCATGCAACGACGCGGTGCCGGTAGAATTGAGGCGG